GCGCCGTCCAATACGTTCGACGTGCTCAGCGAGAACTTTAATAAAGCACAGCTGGTGCTGACGGTCGCTGGGTTGGCACTGGCGATTGTGTTCACGAAGCCGATGGTGAGGCGGAAACAGCTCAGGGAGAGATGGTACCAGTAGGATGAAAAAATTGATGGGTGGTTGTACTTCGTGTAAAATGATAGATGGGAGGGACGCTTAGATCTGCTGTTGTTCCTTCATCCACAACACCTGCTGCCAAAAAGGATGTGAGTGCCACACTGACTCATCGTGAGTCTTCGTACTGGCACAAACTTGAAATGCAACGCGAAAGGCTCGCTTGCGAGGTTGATTCATGGAGCCCATAACGATGTCAGGAGAGCTTTTCAACTCACCTGATGGCAGGTGGAGTTTTGACGCAGCTCAAGCTCAAGACTCAAGTTGCATAAGTGTGGCGCTACAGTCTACATCTGAATCATACATGGGCCTATTTCACGGACTACAAAATGATATATAGCCTTCTTACTAGTAGTAACCACTCGAATCCCAGAAAAAAGACCGTGTTCAACCAGTGCCGCGTACCCGGATCGAACGAGTGTCCCTTTCACTGCACATTTGCAACTACGCCACATGTATACAAGCGAGATGCGCTGCGACTGCGCCAATGCGGCGCACCCCTTGACCTCGAGCTCCTCCTTCCAGTCGTGACGGCCCTTCCAGTTGCGTCAACTCACAGGCAGGATATCGCTTCATGTACACTGTATGACTCTACAGTGTGTACAGAGCAAAAAATTGGAACGACTCAAGTTTCGCTTTCCCGCCTGGTAATCATACCATATACTCTAATTGAACGAGTGTCCTTCTTACTGCTCTGGTAAGTTTTATGGTGATCATTCCCCAGGCATGCAAGTGAGATGCGCTCCTGTGACTGCGTTAACGCGGCACACTTCGTTCTGTAAGCTCGTCCTCCTTCTCGATGTGTGACGTGGTAGTGGTGGAATGGCACGTACAGCCCGCCAAGCGCGGCACACGCTTGCCATAAGTAGAAGCAAACAATCGCTAAGAACTCCTAGACATAGTACCGCGTACCCAGATTGAACGAGTGTCCTTCTCATCGCATGTAGTTCATCTATACTCAGCCAGATACGAGTGAGCCGCGCTACCACTACGCCAACATGGCATGGCCCTATTGCTTTTTTCTTGGGGGTTGAAGCTCAGACTGAACAGAGGGCCGGCAGAGGGATGAGAAGTAGAAAGAAGAAAAATGAGTGCCACGTACCCGGATTGAACGAATGACCTTCTCATGGTATGGTAACATACAAGTGAGACGCGCTACCACTACGCCAACGCGGCATATCTGCAGTGGAGTGGAGTGGAGTGGAGTGGAGTGGAGGAGAGAGAGAGAGAGAGAGGAGAGGGGAACGGTCGCGGCGCACATTGTATCATGCATGGTATGTTTGGAAGTTGTAGCCCGGATATGCAAAGAAGACCCCAGTGTGTAGTAGTATGATATTGACGGTCCTTGAAAGCTTGTGTGGGGGACTGTAATGGTGAGCGCAAGGTAAAGTTTTGTTGAATTTCGAATTTG